CATAGTTTTGAAGTAATAAGGCGCTAAATCAAGAACTTAAATCATGCTAACGCGTAGCGGTGCACAATGCACCAAAGATATGCAGCATACTCCAGGCTCCCCGTTCTGGAGAATAAATAGATTAAAAAACCTCGAATCGGAGCGAGAAAAGTTTGTACAAAAAGGTCACGATGAGGGACTAACATCTGAAGATAGAAAAAACCTTTTAGAAATTGAAGACGAAATAGTTTTACACAACTCTATTTTAGAAACTCCAATATCCGATGAATTATCACCAACAAATTCACCCAAAAAATTACCGATAATCGATCATCGTGAAAAAGAAAATAACCAAAATAAGGATAAATACAATTCCAACTCAAATGAAAATCAAAAACAATCCCATGAAAATACCCCTACTAGCAGCAAACTTAACTAAATTAGAAAGTAATCGATGGCGCACCATGCCCAAGCAACGTACTCAACAGAAAAATTCAGCAGATAAATCGCCAAATCTGGCTACCATAAATCCTTATGAAATACTGCAACAATCTGAAGTTACTTTAAATGATGATACAAATAGGTAACATAGGTAATAATTCAGATACACTCAAAATAGCATAAATACTCAAAATAACTCTGATGATGAGCATGCTAATTTCCAAAAACTTTGAAAAACCAAAGAAGTATGCCAATAAAATACCTCCATTCGTAATAACAGACACCAACGTAAGCTGGAAAACTCTAAATAAAACGCTAACTGAAAAACTCAATATTAAAAAAGTGGATGGTAAATTAAAAGGAGGCAACTTAATAATTAAAAGTTTTCGAATTAGAAGAATATAGAAAAATACAGGAATACTTTAAAGAAAAGGAAAATAACCTACCACTCATACATATTACACTCTGACAAAACCGTTAGAGCTATAATTAAAGATTTACCAAATGATGTAACTGAACAAGAAATTGAAGAAGATTTAAAAGACCAAGGCATACCTATCATTAAAGTAAAGCATTTAACCAAAACTACCAATGGCATCTCAAATCTGATTCCAGTTTATTATATCGAAGCACCCCGCACTGAGGAGGGGAAAAAATTAATGCATGTTGATAAAATAATAGGACTATGGGTACGAGTTATTAAATACCAATCCAAACCTGGGCCTACACAATGTTACAATTGTCAAAGGTACAATCATACACAGCGAGCATGTCACAATACACCTCGTTGTGTAAGATGTGCAGAAAATCATCGTTCACACCTCTGCCCTTTTAAGGGCACGCAAAATTATGATGCGAAGTGTGTCCTATGTTTAGGATCACATCCAGCATCCTCCATAACTTGCCCTCGTAGACCAGGCAATCAAACTAATGAAATAAGCAATGAAAATTCAACCATCTGCCATGAAAATAAGCCAAAGTTTGGATAATACATCAAAATATCAAAAAAGCCAAATAGGATCACATGACCCTATCAACCAATCAGAAAATAGCATAACCTATTCTGCAGTTCTTCAAGGAAAAACCCAAACTCAAGAAAATAATAATGTTAATAATAAGAAAAATCAAAAAACCAATAGAAATCAAAATAATTCCCATGAAAACAGAGGAAAAAAATTAGATCAATTTATAGCCTTCATGGCTTCAATATATGATCTCTATGACGACTTCTGTCAAGCTAATACCATTACGGAAAAAATGTCAGTAGCTTTTGAAGCACTTAGAATTTATGAAAATATCAGTAATGATTAATAGCAACAACCACAGAAATTACTCAAAGGCAAATAAGCTTAATTATATTAAATCCGTCTTCTACAATTGTAATGGAGTTATTAGGCAGCACCTGCAAATTACAAAATTTATCTTTGAAAACAACCTCGACATCATGATGCTAAATGAAACACATCTGAAACCAATAAAAAATTCAAAATTGCCAACTACAGTATATATACAGAAATGATAGGCTACATAACAGTGGAGGAGGCACTGCTATAATCATCAAAAATTCCATCAGACACATGGAATATCAACTTCCTACATTTAATTCAATAGAAGCCTGTGCTTGTCTTGTGTATAGCAATAATATTAAACCATACCTCTTTGTCTCGGTCTATAAACCTCCACAGAAAATCATCAATACGGCTGAAATTGCTTATATCTGCAATTTGGGTTACCCCACATTAATTGCAGGCGACTTAAACTGTAAACACCCAGCATGGAATTCAAAATATACAAATAGTAATGGCAATAGACTGTATAACTTTATGCAAAATTCTATTATCAATATCCATTCTACAACTGAACCTACCCATATCTCTACCTGCAATAGTCATATCTCAGATGTTATTGACATTCTCATTACTAGCAATATCCCACAAATCCCTGATCTCACCAACATTCCTGAGCTGGATTCAGATCATAACCCAATAATGTTCACCCTTAATAATATCATCCATTTCATGCCTCCTCAGCCAACTAAAGTCAACTGGACAGACTTTAAATACATTTTAAATGATAATATCTCAGCTACTGCTAGAATGACTACTCCAGAATTAATCGACAATGCAACAACTCATCTCAATAATAAAATCATTGACTCCATCAGTAAAGCTACTAGAAATTCTATCAAAAAAGACTACTCTCTTCCACAAAATATTACTGAAGAAATTAGAATCAAAAATAGACTTAGAAAAATATGGCAAAGAACTCGTACCCATACTGATCACATATAAAAGGGCTTACTATAAAGTTAAAAAATTATGCGATGACTATAAAAATGACAACTGGAATGATTATGTTGAAAAACTATCCCACACTGACCACTCTATTTGGAAATTAGCAAAGAAACTCAGAAGAAATAATGAAAAAATTGGACCTATTGAATGCAACAACAATATTATTCATCATCCTGAAGACATAGTTAATGAATTTGCTAATGTATACGAAGAACAATTCAACATCAATAACATGAATCACCAAGAAGACAATAGCATAAAAGAATCTGTGCAAAATTTTCTTAACTCCAATAGGAGCACAGCAAATTATCCTACTACACCCACAGAAGTTACTCATATCATTAAACAACTAAATCCTAAAAAAGCAAGTGGATATGATAAAATATCCAACACAGCAATTCAGAATTTTCCTAAAAAAGCTGTTATTTATCTAGTCAATCTGTTCAATGCCTGTCTCAGAAAAAATTATATCCCTACTGCCTGGAAACATGCCACTATAATAATTATCAAAAAACCTGGAAAAGATAAAAAATTGACAGCAAGCTACAGACCAATCTCTTTACTACCAGCTATATCAAAAATTTTTGAAAAAATTATTCAAAAACGACTGCAGCAATATGCGCATGACAATAATATCATCTCTCCATTTCAATTTGGATTTAGAAAAAATTACTCCACTATTCATCAAGTTTCCCGCATCGTGGAGAAGATCGGTGAGGCTTTTAATAAAAAGGAAACTGTTGCCGCTCTTTTCCTCGATGTGGAGAAAGCGTTCGATAAAGTGTGGCATACAGGACTCATTTACAAATTAATTAAATATAACTTTCCTGCTGCATTAATTCAAATTATTCACAACTACTTGCAAAATAGATTCTTTCAAGTCCGCATCAACAATAGTTATTCTACAAAAAGAAGAATAAATGCTGGAGTCCCTCAAGGAGGAAATTTGGCTCCGTATTTATATATCATCTATACTAATGACTTTCCTATCTATTCAGGTACTGAAATAGCCCAATATGCAGATGACACTGCAATTTTTTCTATTTCAATCAACCCTTCTCATGCGCAATATAAATTACAACATGCAGTTGACAATATCCAAGATTGGCTTACTAAATGGAAAATTAAAATTAATCCCCATAAAAGTAATAACATAATTTTCAAAAGAACTACCAGAAGACCGGTTTGCGAACAGCTTTATATAAATAATCAACCAGTAAATAGAGAAAATACAGTTAAATATCTTGGTATCCATCTCGACTACAAACTCAACTTTAAAGAACATCTTCATGCTACTAGAACTAAAACAATGCAGGCCTTCATGAGTGTTTACTCTATTATTAATAGCCATTCAAAACTTAGCATTAATACGAAGAGAATCATCTATTTACAACTTATAAGACCTACCATGCTGTATGGATCACCTGTCTGGGCTGCAGCAGCAAAAACAAACAGAAATCAACTTCAAGTTATTCAAAATAAAATTATTAGAACCATGCTGGGTGCCCCTTGGTTCATTAGAAATGAAGTATTACATAGGGATCTAAAGATTAACACCATTGATGAAGAAATTCTCAAAACAGTCTATAAATTTTACAATAAAATGGAACAACATCCCTCCACTATTATTCAAAATATTGGCAACTATGACTTTATTATTGAACAAAAGTACAAAAGACCTCGAACAATTCATCACAATGTTCTGTGGTGAATTTTGCTATAATCATCTGTAATTTATCATCATCATTATCACAGAATTACTATTTAATCAAGATTTTCTCCACTACTGTACTGAAGCAAGGGTCTTCATAACAAGATTATTGTTTCTTATTGGCTAACTCATGCACACCTATTTAACCAAGTTCTCTTTTATTTCATATTCATCAACATCATCATTTATGCAATTTTATACACTAACAAATATGTTAGTTTTTTATTGTCATGCATCTATTATTTTATTATTTTAAAAAAAAATTTGTAAATATCGTCGAAAATACTACAAAATATGAAAATTCAAGCTTTCTCGCTCTCGCCAATCATCATTCAGTATCGGAAACACGTGACCAGTCTCTAAATTAACATCTCAAGAATTTGATTTAATAACAAATACTATATTAGATATTTGACTTAATAATATTATATATTTGATACTCGACTCAATAAGATCCTTCATAATTCCTGATGAAAAAATTCTACCATTCATAAAGCCTTAATTGGATTAATCATTGATGAGGCATGTACTTTAGTTAGTACGATACTCATAGACTAATGCTACGACCTGACCTGACCTGCGCATAACAGGCCTTCCGTAAGGAGCCGCTCACAGCCATCCCAGTTTTGAGCCGCTATTGGGACGCTTTGTAAACAAATGTCTTTCTCATTAATATACAGTTGTAGTATAAGTTCTGTATTTATTATGCATAAGAATGCCATTTGATTATCAGGAATTTCGCGTACTTACCTTCCATATACTTTCTAAAGAGGGATTCAAAATTATATGGCCTTTCATGATTAAACTTTCAAACTTGTAATTTAGTACGTATTGATTTCAATTCAGTTCATTACGAACTTTCTCGTAATATAAACATTGTTAAGAGTGTATCAGTTAATTAATACGATGTGTTCAAGGGGTATGCACAGGTCTTTTAATAAAAAATAAAGTATGATTAATTTGTTCTTTAAAATCTCTGCATTCATTCAGAACAATTTCATTGTTAAGAGAACTGGCTGCTAATCTACAATCCTTTTTAATACGAATTATTCTGAAGTTAACATATTTTAACATGAATTTATTATGGATTTATTTATTTATTTCAATAGCTTATTTTATGTAAGCTTGCAAAGAATTATACTACATGTGTAACAGTAATAATGATTGAGAAACAATTTGAAGTTGAATCTGAAAATGAAATTAAAACTGTGCCTAAGGGTTGGAGAAAAGAAATCAGAAAAAGAAAAAAAGGAAGAACTGCTGGAAGACATGATGTTTACTTCTACAGGTAAAAGAAAATTTTAGTCAGTGTAATATTCGTTTACTCAGTTCTTCATTAATCCATCATTTATTGTTGTTTTGTTTAATTAATCTAGATGTATTATTCTGTTTATAATATGTAATTTGGCTTTTAACCTTTAAGAGACTGAGCAGTTTTTAAAGGTTTCACTTAAAAAGACAGGAAATCCAAATGCATTTCCACCCCCTTTTAGCTGCCATTGTAAAGAGAAACTACTACTCTTTTGAAAGCTTTCCTTTAGGTCGCCTTTGTTAATTTTCAGATAAGAGACTAGGGAATAATATAAAGAAATTTGTTCTCTTTTCTGCTGTTTCTTTTCCATCAACTAGGGAAACATATGATGGTGAGATTTTGTAGCTATATAATTGTCGTATGTTGGAATATTAACTTTTGACATTGCGTCATTATAAATCCTATGCATGCCTAAAATCAGTACATAGTCTAATCAGTTTTTATTTGTTTTCAAACTGAATTTAGTTTAGAATTACATGTACTAATTAACATTTTTAATTCATATTCGAAAATGATGTTTAACTATTTGTTTCTTGTATAAATCGGCAGTTCTCTTTCATTTGTTTTCAAGCATTGTGTAACAGCAGATATTTATATATTAAACAAATCCCATTGTATTTTTGTTACGTTAGTTTCATTTACCTTTTTCATTAGTATTCTTATTCAGTTTCTTTTTATAATTTATTGATTTTCTCCCCCATTGTATTATAACATTATTGTTCATTGTTTTTTCTTGCAGTTTTCTGATAAAAGCCCTTTAGCATGTTTTTTTTTTTAAAATATTCTCCTTTAAAAAGATTTTATTGAATATATTTTCATTGCATTGCATTGCATTTTGCATGTTTCAAACAGCACTCTTAAATACAAAAATTACAATAAAAAGGGAAAATATAAAGGGAAAAAAAAATTAATGGCACAAAAATTGGTAAAATTAATACAGTTAAAAGTCTTTAATCCGGACTTGTCGGGACTTCGGCGATTCCGAATTATCGGTTTTTTTGGATTATAGATCATCAATTTAAATCTGGTAAGACAACATGCAGAAATTATCAAATTAAAAATGTGAAACCATAATTTATGAAATAAAGAGCAATTATGATCTAAAGGGTATCAAAATTTACAAAAAAAAAAAAAAAAAGTTTAATATTTATTTGTTTACTTTATTAAACATTTCTTTCAATGCGCGCATGCGTAAAGCATACATTACACATAATCGAAATTAAAAAATTGCAACCAGAAAACTATGTGATGGGTATTCGTGATTTTTATAATGACGAGGAATTTGGGTTGATCTTTACATTATGGTAACTTGGCGAAAATTTGGCAACCAACTCTCCTACAGCAACCCTCTATTTTTTTTTTCCCCGCCGCCATTTTGTCTTCACGAAGTAAAGACATGTTTCTTTTCTTTTTATCTACTGAACACTTCTTCCAACAATCTACTAACCGAATTACACTTATGCTAGAAATTTTATCAAACAAAACTGCTTAATCATGACAAATATTCACTGCAAAATTGGGAAAAAGTGCACAATACCATACTCTTTACGCGTTTTTCAAAATAACACATACACATAAACCATGTACACGCCGACTTATTTTTACTTAAAAAAACATCCCAGAATTGCACAAAAATGGCATTGCGCACACTCTTCACTATATCCATGTACACTGCTTTTTTCTCATAAATTAGAAAAATTTCACGAAAATACATGACAATTTTCTCAATCTTTAAACCCGGTAAAAAGAACATATCTGAAATTACCTGATCACGAAAAAGTATTTACCCTTTACAAATATGAACATTTCCACATATAAAATAAATAAAATATCCAAAAACTTTTACCTCTAAATCATCTATTACATTATACACGTCACCAACGAATTCATACCGCAAGCATTACAAATACTTAGTATCAAATATTTAAATTATTTCCATGCACGTTTACTTCACTTAACTTAACGTATACCAAATTCCTACAAACATAAAATTCACAAAATAACTATCATTTAATTAAAATATCACTAAACCATGTACACGTCGACTTATTTTTACTTAAAAAAAATCCCAGAATTGCACAAAAATGGCATTGCTCACACTCTTCACTATATCCATGTACACTGCTTTTTTCTCATAAATTAGAAAAATTTCACGAAAATACATGACAATTTTCTCAATCTTTAAACCCGGTAAAAAGAACATACAGTCAAAAGTCGTTAATTCGGACACCCATAATCCGGAATGATCTATAATCCGGACCTCAAAGCTAAAAACTTTTCGGCGCATGCGCACAGGCGTTTTATGCGTGCGCGTAAGACCTTGACTACTGCGCATATGCATGTGCGCAAGTGCAGAATACGTTTTCGCCTGCGCGTTTAATGTATAACGGACGGTGTAAGCTAAAATTATCTAATTATCTATTTCAGTTAATGTTAATGATTATGTTGTTCCTTAATCTTCGAATTGGATCCCGCTTATTATTTTTTGCCGACTGTAAGAGCAATTTTATAAAAGTAAACTTGAACTTTCGATTATGTCAAATAGAATTTCCGATGCTGGAACTTCCAAAGGATCTACAAAACGAAAGTATGTTTCGATGTCCAACAAACAAAAAGTGGTATTGCTGCGAAAAATGGATAAAGACATGAAGAATGTGACAAAGAGGTTGGTGAAAACGAAAAAATTTCGATTGACAAGTTAGTCGGTATTTTCGGCACAGCAATTAACGGGACTTGAACAGCGGAACTTTGTAACTGAACAAGAAATTATGTTTGCTTATAGAATTAAAGAGAAAGTATGATCACATAAAACAAAGCAACTTAAACAACTTACATTGAAAGAAATGTTTAATGAATTAAACAAATAAATATTAAGCTTTTTTTTTTTTTTTGGTAAATTTTGATACCCTTTAGATTATCATTGTTCTTTATTTCATAAATTACGGTTTCATATTTTTAATTTTAGAATTTCTGCATGCCATATTACGAGATTTAAACTGATGATCGATAATCCGGAATCGCCGAAGTCCCGACAAGTCCGGATTAACGACTTTTGACTGTATATGAAATTACCTGATCGCAAAAAAGTATTTACCCTTTACAAATATGAACATTTCCACATATAAAATAAATAAAATATCCAAAAACTTTTACGTCTAAATCATCTATTACATTATACACGTCACCAACGAATTCATACCGCAAGCATTACAAATACTTAGTATCAAATATTTAAATTATTTCCATGCACGTTTACTTCAACTTAAACGTATACCAAATTCCTACAAACATAAAATTCACAAAATAACTATCATTTAATTAAAATATCACTAAACCATGTACACGTCGACTTATTTTTACTTAAAAAAACATCCCAGAATTGCACAAAAATGGCATTGCGCACACTCTTCACTATATCCATGTACACTGGTTTTTCTCATAAATTAGAAAAATTTCACGAAAATACATGACAATTTTCTCAATCTTTAAACCCGGTAAAAAGAACATATATGAAATTACCTGATCGCGAAAAAGTATTTACCCTTTACAAATATGAACATTTCCACATATAAAATAAATAAAATATCCAAAAACTTTTACCTCTAAATCATCTATTATATTATAAACGTCACCAACGAATTCATACCGCAACCATTACAAATACTTAGTGTCAGATATTTAAATTATTTCCATGCACGTTTACTTCAACTAAAATGTATACCAAATTCCTACAAACATAAAATTCACAAAATAACTATCATTTCATTAAAATATAATTAAATTCAAAAACACTACTTAAAATATAAATGAGCACATACATTAAATTAATAAAAATTACCTTACAATCCTAATTACTTTAAACTAAATCATTGCTAATAACAATTTTCCCAATAATACCAAATTCCTTTCCACCTTACATTTAGAACAATGCATAAAAATAATATCCTCAAATAATTAAAAATACTAACTTACCTAATCTTCTTCAGAATCTTGATTACGTGGCGGATACACTTTTCTAATTCATTCAATAAAATTATTGAAAGATTTTTTTCTGCGAATTTTTCCTCCATACTTCCTCCACTAAATAAAAAGCAAACTTCTCTTTATCACAATGCCTAAATACCCATTTTGAATTCACTTTAGTTAGGGCCATGGGATCCAAAAAATTAAACAACACTGTTTCACACAAACAGAGAATAAAGCTAAATACAAAATTTCCACATTTTTTCCCGATTTCCCCCCCCCCTTTTTTCCCGATTAAAGAACCGTAATTCGTCCATTAATATCACATGACATATCCCATGATCTCTCATTTCCCTCACGCAAAAATAATGCGTAATCGGAACTGAGTACTGCTCACATTATTACCAAAGTCCCAGGTAGTCCAAAATGTCGCCAAACTACCAGTTACCATATTTATAATGATCAACCGGAATTTGATTTAAATCATATTAAAGAACGGAGTACATCGAGAATGAAAATACTACATTTAGTAAGGAGTTATAAGGCCGAAATAAAATAAAAACATTCTGCCCTGAAGATAAGGATAGTGCTGAACAGATCAACTTCCAGTTCATTGCGCTCCACGACGTCCCCCCCACCCCTCCCCCGCAGAGCAGCATGAAATTGATAAACAGATTTCAGGAATACAATCTTCGGATTCGGTTAGAGAAACGAAAGGATATGCCTTTATCCATTTTTTGCAGCAATTCCACTTTTTCTTTGATGGACATCGAAACATGCTTTCGCTTTGTAGATAGATCCTTTGGCAGCTCCAGAATCGGAAATTCTTTTTGACATAATCGAAAGTTCAAGCTTACTTTTATAAAATTGCTCTAACAGTCTTCCGAAAATAATAAGCCAGATCCAATTTGAGGATAAAGGAACAACGGAATCTGCAACATTAACTAAAATAGATAATTAGATAATTTTAGCTTAGCTTATACCGTTCGTTATACGTTAAACGTTCATGCGTA